GTACAATATAGATATAGGTAATTAACATCCATACACCTAGAGAGGGTGTAAAAAGTACCTGGCGATCTAAATATCTAATTAAGCACGTTATTAGTGTTTCACTTCATTCATTATCTAATATTATTTTTTTAAACACGGAATTAATTGCTTTATTAGTAAGAAAACTTCTAGTGGCTCACAAGTATTTAATTAATTTGCATTTTTACCTATTTCAATGCTATCAGCTCCCACACATAAAAGAACAGAAACCTCAGAAGTAGCTTAGTAGTGGTACATCATATGTGTCCGCTATAAATCCTGCGACCAAACAGGCCTAACTTTAGGAAATTGCCACAGCATATGTAAGAAAGATCCTGTTCTGGCCTGACACTTACGGCAAATTGCTGAATCTTAGGTTGCTGAGGAGTATAATACATTTGATGTAAATAGCATAGCTGTATCATTATATCTCTGGAAGAAATAACCATGCCCACATACGTATCAAGAACTTCCAGCTACAATTTTTTCTGTTAAATCAGATACAATAGCAAATCACAGCTCACGGGCCAAATGGCAATACCTACGATCAATTAAAATTAATGCAGAGTAATAACTAGATACCACATTAGTATGTTCTGACTGTAACAGAAGAGTTTCCAATTTGGTATTAGTAAAAGTCACTACTCCTGGCCCATACTGACTCAATGCAGCGTGTTTAACCTTCTTAGCAGTAATCCTGAGTGTGGCTTGGGGTTAATTTCCAGTACCAAAGCGGTAACCCCAAGCCATATTCAAGATTACACTGCAGTGCTTGTCCTGCGATCCCTTGATCCTTACCTTGTCCTGCAATCCCGTGATGTTCTCCCGCTGTGTCCTCTGGCCATGTCCTCCGGCCGATGCCATCATCCATCTTCCGGGTTCCATTCCCTGCGAGCATCAGGACGCAGAGGGCGGAACAGGCAGGAGATTAAAAAAAATTAAAATAGGATATACACACAATACATTTTAATCTGTTAGTATTACATTACTGTATCAAACCATTTCACCTAAATGTTGTTCCTAGTGCTTTGTCCTGTGCCCTGCCTGCACTTTTACCGTTCTTTCTGCCTGGAAACTTGAGAACGTCCATGGCATCCAAAAAGCGTCCCTTTAGGTCAAAAGTGGTTTTAGACCAGCTAGAAAACAGCGATAATGAATTAGAATCACTTGCAGAATTGAGTGATAATGATTCATAAGGAAATTCGTCATCAGACACTGAAAACAATTCTGCAACTGAGCTCAGTGATGTGCAAACTTGGTGCTCTATTTCAAATTTCAGTGTTTTTGGTTTGATTACATTATTGAATTAAATTTATTATTATATTATTATTTTTTTATAATTATTTATTATATTATAATTTATGATTTCGTGTTTCAAACTTTATCATACCTGGGATGTTTACTAGACTCTTGTTTAGAAAGATTTAAGTTAGTTGTTTCTAAGAATTACAGGCCTACAATATAAAACAACACATTTCCATGAAAAACAATGTACTGCTTTGACATTCAAAAATATTGATTAGTTAGACCGCCAGGGAGGTTAAAGGATAAGTTCATCTTTTAGACAAAAATAATAAATGTACATTTTTTTGCAGGTACAAAAATGTGCATTTAATATTTTTGTCTACAGGGGCCTGGAAAGCATTGCACCAGTGATTAGTAGATTGCTGATGCCATGCAGGTCTCCTGCAGACTTGTCAGAATATCTGCTTGTTGTAAGGGATGTACGAGATATTCTGACAGGAAGCTTCAATGAACTACCATGGGGCTCCACAGCTCCGTGGTAGTAAATTTAAAACTATAAGCCGCCAGCCGCTAAGGCTGTCTGGACTTGCAGTTCATTCATTCACAAAAGTTTGTGAATGAATGATGCAGCCATGTGGGCGGAGCCCCGCACGGCCATGCTGTTTTCAAATTTGACAGATAGTACAGGGAAACACTTCTCCCCACACTATCTGTCAGAGGGAGGGGGTTGTCAGGCGGCAGCTGAGGCTATAGGAACAGGTTACATGTTCCACCCAACATGTTCCCAAAGGTGAACTTTAAGTTGAGCATAATGAATGTACTATGAACTAGGTATGCCCCATTCAGTTCACAGTTGTGTAAAAGACTTAAACTGACCAGCCTCATAATGATGATGAATATATTTAACACCATACTGTGCCCATCAATGACCTTCCTCCAGCTTAGAAAATTTCCCCAAAGTAGGATTATACCAGATAGGAGCATTTGGAGATAAAGACAAAGCCTATTTGAAATTTGTTAAGCACATAATTTAAGAATCATTCTAGATACAGACAGGATTACCATACGCCTTTATGAGGGAACCTCTTCTCAATAGAAAAAATTCAAAAGAGCCTCATAAGAGGTGGTCACTGCTGCTTCCACAGCTGTGACTGCAGTGTTCATCAGTGGAAACAATACGCCAGTGTACATACATTAACCGCAAGGCAATAAAAATAATACAAGTGTAAATCAAGTAAAGCTAAATCACCTCTAATGACTGGAAATTGGAGACTGTCAGGAGATATTCTGGGTATCTTAGATCCCCATAAGAAAGAACTAAACAGAGAGTTAATATATTGAAAAAGTCTCTTAGGAATGTAGATTGCAGCATTTAGTAGAATATATGCAAGCTTTGGGGTCACAATAGAGGAGTTAGACCCACAACATGAATGTAGATCCAAACCAAACTTGGTCAATAACGGAAACTGAATCAAATGTTTTTTTGTATCAAACGATACAAACACTCTACTTGCCGAATTATCATGATTTCACTTGCAATTTAACAAACAACCTTTTGACATCTACCCAGCATAAAACCAGTCTGGTTGGAGCCCACTAATTGTGTGACATTTACCATGGCATAAAACCAGTGTGGTCGGAGCCTGCTAATTGTGTAATCACCTTATGTAGCCTTTGCTCCAAAATTATTGCCAGTATTTTCACATCAGAATTAAAAAGTGAGATGGGATAGTGCAATTCACATTCAAGAGGAGCTTTCCCAGGTTTTGGTATTAATACTATGAGGGAAATGCCCCCTCCCATCGTCAGGAATTAAAAACCTCTAATAGATAAGGTACAGGAAGTTCCTTATATGTTTAGTACCACTCTATTGAGCACCTATCCAGGGGATTTATGAGACGCAAAAGAGAAAAAACACCTCCCTCTTCCCAGGACAAGGTAGTGAAATAGATGCGAGATATGTTAACATATCTGATTCTGACACTTCCCCCTGAGAATGATACAGAAATTAAAAAAACTGCTCAAAAGTGAATAATACATCTTGGGAATTTTCCACTATAGTCCCCTGAGGAGTTTGAATACAAAGCACTGATATCAGAGTATAGGAAGGCCACGCTAGAAAAGCTCCAAATTCAAATATCCATCTACACTGGTAAAGATGACCTTTGCTCACCAGCTCTGCAAGAGTAGTTGATAAAGATGTAACTATTCCTGCCAGGCTCTATAATTATCTGGAGATGGAGATCTCTGCTTGAGCTACTTGTTCCTCCAGGCTCACCATGTCAACCCTCAAGGGTCTCGAAAAAGTCCCCTACCACTTTCATATATTTCCCCTCTAAAAGTAGCTTTAAAAGTTTCCCATTGGTTAGAAATACCTGTACCCATATTGTCTTCTGTCCAATAATGATTTATCGCCTCTAAATGACCAAGTCTCACATATTCTTCCTGCAACCAAGTGGTCAAAATGCCAAATTCCAGGACAGGCACCCAACTTCAAACCAATTTTCAAAGGAGAGTGGTCTGAGATAGCCCTGGGCAAAAATGTAACAATATTTAACTGTATCAATGAAAGACCATCGACTGTAGAGAGCAGCATGTCTATGCTAGAATGCGTATTATGGGTTTCCAAGCAGCAGGAGAATTCCCTAACCCCAGGTTTTCATTTCTCCTTACATAAATGAGAGCATAGCATTCCAGCTAGGAGGCTAAGACAGGGGGAGCCCCCAATATACAACCCTGATGATCCAAGGTAGCGCCAGAGACTGCATTGAGACCGCCCAGGAGCATTAAGGTTCCCTCTGCCACAGAGAAAACTGTGGAAAATATTTCCATCAGCAATTTAAGTGAAAATGGTGGAGGTATGTAAATACTCACTATTGTTAGGCATAAATTAAAAATCTTATAAATGAAAATAACATATCTTCCCAGGGATCAGTTTTATTTGAATAATATGCATAGTCAAAGATTCTGACACCAGTATAGCTACCCCTCTGGAATAAGTAGAGTACTCTGCATGTAGGACTTGGGCAATATTATCTTGTCTTAAGGCTATGTCTCTTGGAACAAAATAATGTATGGTTTATATTGTTTAAAATACTCAAAGACTAATGAACATTTAACCTTGGAATTCAATCCTCGGACATTCCACAATAATAATTTAACAACCTGAACCATTAAAACAGATTTTCATATAACCTAAAAAACATAGGGGCTTCATAATCATAGGTCCCCCCAGGCCTCAAGAATACCTAGAAAAAGCAATATATTGACTTAAAGCAGATTGTAAATAGGTAAACAGCACACTCTGGAAAAGTACAACCCAGTCCTGAACTCCCCTTCTTTGCACACAATCCCAAAATGTTGAATGATTTATTCCCATAACAATTATAATTGAAAACAACCTAGGGTATCAAAAAGGTCCTTCACCTCACTACAAAGTACCAGTATAATAGGCCCTGCCTTTCAGGGAAATCCAAAGAGACAAAAGCCAGAGGTCATATCGGTATAAGAAAAATATGTAAACAAAGCAATAAACAACAGTGTCTAGAAGTACCAATAGCCTGGCACAGGATTAACCGTCTCCCGCCCGCCATATAGTAATATGATGGACACAAGGTGGTTTCTCTCGTTCTGGGAGGACATCATATGACGTCCTCCCATTCTAACTGCGCTTGCGCGGCTCCCGGAGCATGCAGCGCGGCAATCGGCAGTGCGCTGTGTCCCTCAGACACAGCGGATCACCGATCCACGGAAAGAGCCGAAGATGTCGGCTCGGTCATGTGATCAGCTGTGTCCAGTCACAGCTGATCACATGTAAACAGGGAAATGCTGGCTGACAGCTCGTGAGGAGAGCTGGTAATCGGCATTCCTCGGAGGGGACATGTACACTGATGAGCACTGATGATCTGTGTAGCCCCAGCAGTGCCACCTGTCAGTGTCCATCAGTGACAGCTTTCAGTGCTCATCCATGCCATCTGCCAGTGCCCATCAGTGCCACATTTCAGTGCCCATCAGTGCCACATCAATGCCACATATCAGTGCCCATCTGAGCTGCCTTTCAGTGTCACCGATCAGTGCCAGTCAGTGCCACCTATCAATGCCAGTCAGTGCCACCTATCAGTGCTGCCAATCAGTGCCACCTATCAGTGCCGCATATCAGTGCCAGTCAGTGCCGCCTATCAGTTTACATCAGTGCTGCCTATCAGTGCCCACCAGTGCTTCCTATCAGTGCTGCCTAACAGTGCCAGTCAGTGCCGCCTATCAGTGCCACCTATTAGTGCCGCAAAAACTAAGAAAAAACTTTTTTTCCCACAATTTTCAGTGTTTTTTGGTTTGTTTAAGAAAAAAATAAAAAACCCAGAGGTGATTAAATACCACTAAAATAAAGCTCTATCTGTCACAAAACAATGATAAAAATTTCATAAGGGTACAGTGTTGCATGACTGCACGATTGTCATTCAAAGTGCAACAGCGCTGAAAGCTGGAAATTGGCCTGGGCAGGAAGGGGGTATAAGTGCCCTGTAGGCTAGTGGTTAAACCAGTCTTATCTTAAAATAGAGCAGTAATGTTTTCAGTTAGGAAGAGTCTGTAAAGACTATGGGGTCATGGAGGGCCAGAATAGTTTGAAATCCACAATGCATGCCAATAGGCACAGAAGAAAGTTCCTCAGGAACATAAAACACTGTAGTGAGAATACGCATAGCCAACTACCAGCGAGCAGTTGCATAACAGGACATTGAGACCAGTGGGGTCCACATGCTTGGAAAGAATAACTCACAGGAAATCAGTCCTCCACCTGATGCGCTACAACTCTAGGATTCCATTGCTGCCATCATCATGGGAGCCCCAGGCATACTTACCCAGGCATTCCCCAGAGGATTTCCCTATGTTCTAGACAATTTTCACCATGGTGGAATATCTCATTCACCTAAGCTCCTCATCCACTTGCTATTCCCAGCACAGTGAAGGACGACTGCCACTCAGAATCGGTACAAGGTCTCAGTCTTCCTGCTTCTCACATATCAGAAGCCAGCTCCACCCCCTTAGATTTTTATATTTCTACATTATCTATTGGCCTGAATAAAGTATCAGCAGCACCTAGATCTGATTCATGACAGCTTGAAAAAATGTTTTGCATGTAACACCTGATTATTTTTTTTTTTACACAGCAGTATCATGTCTGAATGCACTGGTGGAAGTAGCAGTCTCAATCTAAAAGGAAATGATACTCTTTAAAAAAAGTAAAGATAAGGTTCTCACCTTAGTCCAAATGGCCAGAGGTATAACAGTTTGATAATATACTGTATTTTGTGAGCTTATATTTCTCATAGTATCACACTGCATTGTTTTATACATTTAATAAAATGTCAAAGTGCCCAAAACACTTCAAAAACCACAATTATTCCCCAAATTTTCAAAATGTAGATTTCAGATATACAGTATGATTGGTAAAAACTAGCTAGTATTAGGTCATTACACAGGCACTTAATAAGCAACTAATTAGGGAGCCCTGCAGCATGGGCAGATGGCACTGTTGTCGTCTGCAACTTTAGCCTGCAGCATATCAACTTTGGTAGAAGTAACAGGCATTTGGGTACTACATACATAATGTAACACATAACTATACAGCAAAGAGTTTGGTGGGAGCAGCACCTCTTTCATCTCAAGGGCACATAACAGCAACTTTCTTTTAACTTGCTAATAATTCACCCTTTCCTCCTCCTCATCATCAAATGTACATAGTACCTGTTTCCCCCTACTCCTACTCAAGGGTGCAAATCAGCCATTTTTCTTTTTGACTAAATTCTTTACAATGTAGCCCCTCCTATTTAATCTAGCAGAAGATCCTGACTTTTTCAAGGGTGTATAACAGCTATGATTTTAGACTTGCTAATGCTCCCTTTTCTTCCTTCTCTTCCTCAAAGGCATTTAACAACCCTTTATTTTGTGTCTACAGATGTGTCCATATTTTCCTCCTTCACAGGGGTGCAGAGCAGCCACTTGCTTTTTTAGTGTTGTCCCAGCTCTCCTTTCCTACTCCTCTGCTAATCTTGCTTTATCCCTGGTAACCAGCTAGGAGGAGTTGGCAGAATTATTTGCAGCTACTATCTTCAGAGCTGGTCCACAGACCTCTGCTCCACTACTGAGGAAGAAAATGTAAAAAAAAATCCTGAAACCATTACAGCTTTGCCTAATACACAGTTTATGCCTTTTTTATGCCCCTTGCTACACCACAGAGTCAGGCATAAATCCACCATTATTTTGGCCAGCAGGCCATACACCAGCTGCCATTATTCCTACCCTCAACCAGCATATGAAATGCCATGAGGCAGCTGGAAGCAAAGAATGAGAAGAGGGCTAAGGTGCTGGTGATAAGGAGGAGGAGGAAATTTGGGGCAGCTTCAAGGGAGAATTTTACCCCTCTGGGGTGATCTGCATTTCTGTGTCTTGGAGCGAGTGTTGCCGAATGCCAGAGGCGTAGACTGGAATAAATTTATTTTACAACATGAATTCCGATAGATTAATAAATTAAGGGCCACACAACATCCTAGCCTGAATGATATTATGAGGTTCAGATCATTTTTGGATGGATTTGTCTCAGGTAAATCCAAACACGTAATGCAATGTATTGTAAATATTGTTCCTTTTTTTGTATATCACAATATAGGGCAGTCTTGTTTGTATATCTATGTTTACATTTATACTACACCTTGGTGAATGTAACATTGTGGTATTTTATTGTATATTTGTTGTTATTGTAATTTAGAAAAAATATTTTTGTGTATTTATAAAGATGCATGCATGTCCCCCTTTTTTCTTTTGGGGCCTCTTGAGGGGTTTGTTTGGGTGCCCAGCATGCTCAGCCACCATGCTTGGTTTTCCAGGTGGTGGGGGCTAAGTTTCCACCTCCGTGGTTTCCCCCACAGGTCTGTTTCCATCTTTGGCCTCTAGGAAATCTCTTCCTTGCAAAGCCTGATGGCTCCCTGATCGTGCTGGTGCTTTGCCCTCACTCAGGATGGCCGTACTATTCCACTCTCCATCTCTGGTGAGAATGGTGGTTATGCCGGTTCCCGTTTGTTTACAGCAGGTGTCCTCAGTGGACTCCATCTGATCCCACTCTGAGCACTTCTCTGTAAGACATGCATCCATCTGTTTGGTTTTAAGCTGCATCTTTGGGTATGTAATAGTGGCTTGTCCATATTATGACTAGCCACATGTATGTACATGTGGTCAGGCATCGTGATTGACGATGGATCTACTTTGGGGGACATTTTTGTTTTTTAATAAAGGAATTGTCCAAAACTGTCTTCGTGTTTTTTTTACACTACATTTCTCTTTTGGGTGAATGAGCAGTGGTACCATGTACCCCATATTCATTCACATGGGGGGATGGAATCTGGGGCCCCTTGTTAAAGAGGACTCCCAGACTCCAATAAGCTCCCCACCCACAGACCCCCAAAACCACCAGCCAGGGTTGTGGGGAAGAGGCCCTTTATTGGGACTTTGCGCCAATGCCACAAAAAAGCCTGGTGAGGAGTGTCAATGTGTTGTCGGATATATCGTAACTGGACTTTTTTGTGACATTGGTGCAGTAATTACTTATTTCTGGTAGCTTGACCATGCAGCTCATTTTGGTTCAAGTATCGTCGTGTTGTGCTTCTTAAAAACAACCACACCATCTTTTTCCAGAGCAGCTTGTATTTCTCCTGAGGTTGCCTGTGGAGTTTTCTTTGTATCCTGAACAATTCTGGTAGTTGTGGCTGCAATCTTTCTTAGTCTACCTGACTTTGGCTTGGTATCAAGAGATCCCTGAATTTTCCACTTCTTAATAAGTGATTTAACAGTACTGACTGGCATATTCAAGTCTTTGGATATCTTTTTATATGCTTTTCCATCTTTATAAAGTTCCATTACCTTGTCACACAGGTCTTTTGACTGTTCTTTTCTGTTCCCTATGGCTCAGTATCTAGCCTGCTCAGTGCATCCACGTGGGAGCAAATAAACTCATTGACTACTTATACACAGACACTAACTGCAATTTAAAAAGCCACAGATGTAGTAAATTAACCTTTAATTTCAACTTTAACCTGTGTGTGTCACCTTGTGTGTCTGTACCAAGGGCAAACATTCCAGGGTATGTAAAGTTTTTTTTTTTATTATTTATTTTTTTATTTATGCCAATTAAAAAAAAGGGATAGTACATACATTCCCAAAGAAGAATCCAAAATGTCCTCCAAAGAGATACCATGACAATACAACATGCTACAAAGGTCAAGTACAGTGACCAACTAGTAACAGACTTCTATGGATAGCCAGCTTAAGGCCTTACAAAACCAGAGGGGAATGTAGGGATTAGGGGGAAAGGGAGAGAAGGAAGGGGGGAAAGGGGAACATACAAAGAGGGGGATAACCAGAGGGAAAGGGTACAATAGGAAACCTAATGTATATACAGTGGGGCAAAAAAGTATTTAGTCAGCCACCAATTTAGCAAGTTCTCCCACTTAAAAAGATGAGAGAGGCCTGTAATTGGCATCATAGGTAGACCTCAACTATGAGAGACAAAATGAGAAAAAAAAATCCAGATAATCACATTGGCTGATTTGGAAAGAATTTATTTGCAAATTATGGTGGAAAATAAGTATTTGGTCACCTACAAACAAGCAAGATTTCTGGCTCTCACAGACCTGTACCTTCTTCTTTAAGAGGCTCCTCTGTCCTGCACTCATTACCTGTTTCAATGGCACCTGTTTGAACTTGTTATCAGTATAAAAGACACCTGTCCACAACCTCAAACAGTCACACTCCAAACTCCACTATGGTGAAGACCAAAGAGCTGTCGAAGGACACCAGAAACAAAATTGTAGACCTGCACCAGGCTGGGAAGACTGAATCTGCAATAGGCAAGCAGCTTGATGTGAACAAAGCAACTGTGGGAGCAAATAGAAAATGGAAGACATACAAGACCACTGATAATCTCCCTCGATCTGGGGCTCCACGCAAGATCTCACCCCGTGGGGTCAAAATGATCACAAGAACGGTGAGCAAAAATCCCAGGACCACACGGGGGGACCTAGTGAATGACCTGCAGAGAGCTGGGACCAACATAACAAAGGCTACCATCAGTAACACACTACGCCGCCAGGGACTCAGATTCTGCAGTGCCAGACGTGTCCCCCTGCTTAAGCCAGTACATGTCCGGGCCCGTCTGAAGTTTGCTAGAGAGCATTTGGATGATCCAGAAGAGGATTGGGAGAATGTCATATGGTCAGATGAAACCAA